AAGTAGATGTCCTAACCGACTTGCCAAAACTATAGTTTGTTAACAAGAAATTTGTGGAGTGGTTGAAGAACGAGTTTTAATGACTCCAACCTAAGTGTCTGTAAACTTCCGACTTCAACTGTAAATATTCATAGAGTATGCAATTTAGGCAGTGTTCATTTTGGCACTCTTTTTACGTTTTAGTGTTGGTCACATTTTTTGTCGTTTGAATAATGATTTAGTCTAGTTATTGTCAAAATGACGAAAACAGTCGGCCATTTTAATCAACTAAATGACCTTTCGTTTTAATCACATCACATTTGTATCGCCTCATTAACCTATAGTAAACATACATCCCTGACTTCCATGTGCACAAACATACATAACCTGATATTGTTCTGCATCACATCCTATTCTCTTCCCAACAGCAGAAATATGACAAACATATTTATTAGGTATACCCCCTTTTTCCTCCAGAACAGCCTGAATTCTTCTGGGCTGGGAAACTTTGCTCAATTGGTATCAAGGGACCTAACATTCCCCACGCCATTACACCACCGCCACCAGCCGGTACCGCTGACACCAGGCAGGATGGGGCCATTCCCCACACCATTGCACCACCGCCACCAGCCGGTACCGCTGACACCAGGCAGGATGGGGCCATTCCCCACACCATTGCACCACCGCCACCAGCCGGTACCGCTGATACCAGGCAGGATGGGGCCATTCCCCACACCATTGCACCACCGCCACCAGCCGGTACCGCTGACACCAGACAGGATGGGGCCATTCCCCACACCATTGCACCACCGCCACCAGCCGGTACCGCTGACACCAGGCAGGATGGGGCCATTCCCCACACCATTACACCACCGCCACCAGCCGGTACCGCTGACACCAGGCAGGATGGGGCCATTCCCCACACCATTGCACCACCGCCACCAGCCGGTACCGCTGACACCAGGCAGGATGGGGCCATGGACTCATGCTGCTTACTCCAAATCCTGACTCTGCCATCAGCATGACGCAACAGGAACCGGGATTCGTCAGACCAGGCTATGTTTTTTTCCACTCCTCAATTGTCCGGTGTTGGTGCTCGCGTGCCCACTGGAGCCGATTCTTCTTGTTTTTAGCTGTAATAGCCCATCCGTGACAAGGACCGACGAGTTGTTCCCTGTCGGTATTCGGCCATGATTACTACAAGTTTAGATAGCTGGCTAGACTAACTACCAATTTAAAAAATGGTTAGCTGACATGGCTAATTGAGTGACTGTCAGTGACTGACATAACAAGAGAACAACTGCTGATGCACAACCAAATTTCGAAAATTGCACCTTGGTGTCTTCAACTATTCTTCCTCTCAACAGGAAGTTGAGACCCCGACTGAGTTCCTAGTGGCCAGGGTTCCTAAGCGACCGTTTTATGTCGCTTATGCGTGGAACCGGCCCTGGTTATAATAATAATAATAATAATAATATGCCATTTAGCAGACGCTTTTATCCAAAGCGACTTACAGTCATGCGTGCATACATTTTTGTGTATGGGTGGTCCCGGGGATCGAACCCACTACCCTGGCGTTACAAGCGCCGTGCTCTACCAATTGAGCTACAGAGGACCACAAGTTATGTGACTTGTTAAGCAGAATTTTACTCCTGAATTTATTTATGCTTGCCATATCAAAGGGGTTGAATACTTAGACTCAAGATATTTCAGCTTTTCATTTTTTATTAATTTTTATTAACAAAAATTCCACTTTGACATTATGGAGTACTGTGTGTAGGCCAGTGACAATACATCTAAATGTAATCTATTTTAAAATCAGGCTGTAACACAACAACATGTGGAAACAGTCAAGGGGTGTGAATACTTTCTGAACTGTATATCATTCTAAGACAAAAACAAAAATGCATGGCAGATTGCACAAGCACTTTTTACAACAAAAAAAAACAGTAATTGGTGACATATTTTATTTCAATCCTAGACTTTCAAATCTCTTATTTCCTAACATGGGGACAATTGGGGACCCAAAACACTCCCCAAAAATAAGGGGTAAAAATAGGAACATTTTGCCTGTTGTTGCTCTGATTCTGTAATAGTCACGTTGTATGTTTACAACTGCATCAGAATCCCACAGTCCTTACCTTTCTAACAGTGCTAACCATGCTCTTGTCAGATTTATAGTTTGAATGTATTTCCTGAAGGTATAGGTGTGGCTTAGAGCCACCAGAGGGCGCCAGAGTTTAACAGCTTTAAACTGTTGAGGATACTGGAGCCGATAGAGATTTATGTCTATTCATTATTCCCATGGATTACTATGGACTTTAGCAATCTCATTCTATAGCAGCAAAACCTACAAATATAACGTGTGTGTGTGTGTGTGTGTGTGTGTGTGTGTGTGTGTGTGTGTGTGTGTGTGTGTGTGTGTGTGTCCCAGCCCACACAATGTTCTGAGAATCAAATGTTTATTTCTTAGAGGTTGGTGAGAGCATTGTTGTCCCATTGTTATTTAGCAAACAACCTTCCCACAACTTTCTGGGAATGGTGCAGGATAGATGCTTGGCTTTCGAACATTCTCAGCACATTTAAGGAACTTGTCAAAAACACATTATTTTCATAGTATTTCATTACTTTAATAGATTGTTTCCTAAAACATGGTTACATTTAAATAAAATTTTGGTAATGTCATATGAATGTTGTCCAACTGGTTTGACATTGGGAATGTTCTCAAATAGTTCAGAGAACGTTAAGAAACAATGTTCTTCTGTGGGAATTTCAGTACTTCAGCATAACATTTACTGCAGGTTACCTCATGTTTCTATTCAAAGTAATGTTCTCAAATTGTTCCGAAAACGTTAAGAAAACATTCCATAAAAACCACAAGAAAACTTTAAGCAACGGTTCAGAGAACGTTCTAAGAATGTTACTTAAAAATGTATACATTCCATTCTCAGCATCAACAAAACTCTCTCTTATCCTCCATCTTGTTAAGTGTGTTCAGGTGTGTTGGCCGCGCCCACTAATTGGCCACACCTGATCATAATGAGTGCTTGTTTCCTTTGAAATGGGGCCTGTTTGAATAGACTAAAATTAACGGCTTTGTTCGTGTAAAAACAAAACATGGCATGTTAGCTCCATGCTGGTGGCGCAGCGGACCTGAACCCATGAATAGAAAACAGAAGATTATGGTTTGAATCTCACTGATGCCGTGACACAATAAGAAATACATGTGTTTGCATGATTAATGCCTAAGGAAATGAATTGCCATGTGTCCTATCTGTGCTTGGAGTTAAAAACAGTTAAACCAAAATAAGCTAGCAGTGTTATTAAAAGTCTTCTTGAAACATTCAGTGAAAGTTAAAGAGGTTATTCAGAAACCTAAAACAAACTGTAATTTCCATTCTCAGAGCATCAATAAAACCTCCCAGGAAAACTTTCAAAGAACCAAAGTAAAACATTTTCAGAACCAGGGATTCCGTTAGCCATTGTTTTTGCCTATTCATTGATGGAAATACCAGTCGATGGAAATACACTGAACAAAAATATCAACGCAACATGTAAAGTGTTGGTCCCATATTTCATGAGCTGAAATAAAATATCTCAGAAATGTTCCATACATACAAAAAGCTTATTTGTCAAAAAAATTTTTTTTACATCCCTGAATTTAATGTTAATCTCTCTACCATAAGCCACCTTCAACGTAATTTTAGATAATTTGGCAGTACGTCCAACCGGCCTCACAACCGCAGACCACGTGTAACCACGCCAGCCAAGAACTGAAATTATTGGCACCCTTGATAAAGACAAGCAAAAAAAGACTATAAAATAAATACAAATACTGAACTACTGTATGTTGTACTGTATATTGTACTGTATACTGAGCTACTGTATATTGTACTGTATATTGTACTGTATATTGTACTGTATACTGAGCGACTGTATATTGTACTGTATACTGAGCTACTGTATATTGTACTGTATATTGTACTGTATACTGAGCTACTGTATATTGTACGGTATACTGAGCTACTGTATATTTTACTGTATACTGAGCTACTCTATATTGTACTGTATACTGAGCTACTGTATACTAAGCTACTGTATATTGTACTGTATACTGAGCTACTGTATATTGTACTGTATATTGTACTGTATACTGAGCTACTGTATATTGTACTGTATATTGTACTGTATATTGTACTGTATACTGAACTACTGTATACTGATTTACTGTATATTGTACTGTATACTGAGCTACTGTATATTGTCCTGTATATTGTACTGTACACTAAGCTACTGTATATTGTACTGTATACTGAGCTACTGTATATTGTACTGTATACTGAGCTACTGTATATTGTACTGTATACTGAGCTACTGTATATTGTCCTGTATATTGTACTGTATACTGAGCTACTGTATATTGTCCTGTATATTGTACTGTATACTGAGCTACTGTATATTGTACTGTATATTGCACTGTATATTGTACTGTATACTGAGCTACTGTATATTGTACTGTATATTGTACTGTATATTGTCCTGTATATTGTACTGTATACTGAGCTACTGTATATTGTTCTGTACACTGAGCTACTGTATATTGTACTGTATACTGAGCTACTGTATATTGTACTGTATATTGTACTGTATATTGTTCTGTATACTGAGCTACTGTATATTGTACTGTATACTGAACTACTATATATTGTACTGTATACTGAACTACTGTATATTGTACTGTATACTGAGCTACTGTATACTGTGCTGTATATTGTACTGTATAGTGTGCTACTGTATATTGTATGCTCAACATTTGGGAAATTATATTATTTTATACTAATACAATTAGTATTACAGCTACCTTTTTTTGGACCCTGTTCTGGATGTGGTGAGGAAAGAGAGGATACATCTCCAATGAGGCAACTGGTGGGTCAACATGCACAACATTTTACTCTGTAACATTAGCTTGCTCTCTAGTTGGACTATTTTACATTAATTATATGGCATTTGTGTCCAAACAGGAGCAAAAATGTGTTCCCAGAGCAATTCTGGTGGATCTGGAGCCAGGCACCATGGATTCAGTTCACTCTGGACCATTTGGACAAACCTTTAGACTGGATAACTTTGTCTTTGGTATGTGAAGTTTGTAAATACAAATAAGTTGATGACACGTGGATGTCATCAGTCAAATATCTTCAATGTGTAGCCAAATCACTCAGGTTACACACAACACAGATACACCTGAACTGAATTGGGGAAACTGTCAAATGAATGTATTGAAAATGTCTAACATTTATTTTTCTGCTCACAGTGCAGAGTGGTCCTGGTAACAACAACGCTGCAAGGCCACTACACAGAGGGAGCGGAGCTGATGGACTGTCCTGGATGTGGCGAGTCTGCGACAACCCCGCAGCACTGCCATCCAGGAGCTGTTCAGGAGTATTTCTGAGCAGTTCACAGCCGTGTTCTGTAAAGCCTTCCTGCACTGGTACACCGGGGAGGGCATGGACGAGATGGAGTTCACTGAGGCTGGGGGGGGCATGGACGAGATGGAGTTCACTGAGGCTGGGGGGGGGCATGGACGAGATGGAGTTCACTGAGGCTGGGGGGGGGCATGGACGAGATGGAGTTCACTGAGGCTGGGGGGGGCATGGACGAGATGGAGTTCACTGAGGCTGGGGGGGGCATGGACGAGATGGAGTTCACTGAGGCTGGGGGGGGCATGGACGAGATGGAGTTCACTGAGGCTGGGGGGGCATGGACGAGATGGAGTTCACTGAGGCTGGGGGGGCATGGACGAGATGGAGTTCACTGAGGCTGGGGGGGGCATGGACGAGATGGAGTTCACTGAGGCTGGGGGGGGCATGGACGAGATGGAGTTCACTGAGGCTGGGGGGGCATGGACGAGATGGAGTTCACTGAGGCTGGGGGGGGCATGGACGAGATGGAGTTCACTGAGGCTGGGGGGGGGCATGGACGAGATGGAGTTCACTGAGGCTGGGGGGGGCATGGACGAGATGGAGTTCACTGAGGCTGGGGGGGGCATGGACGAGATGGAGTTCACTGAGGCTGGGGGGGGCATGGACGAGATGGAGTTCACTGAGGCTGGGGGGGGCATGGACGAGATGGAGTTCACTGAGGCTGGGGGGGGCATGGACGAGATGGAGTTCACTGAGGCTGAGAGCAACATGAATGACCTGGTGTCAGAGTACCAGCATTACCAGGACGCCACCACTGAGGAGAAAGGAGAGCTTGAAGTGGATATAGGCTGAAAAGACTAATAATAATAATATGCCATTTAGCAGACGCTTTTATCCAAAGCGACTTACAGTCATGCGTGCATACAGTTATTTGTGTATGGGTGGTCCCGGGGATCGAACCCACTACCTTGGCGTTACAAGCACTGTGCTCTACCAGCTGAGCTACAGAGGACCACATAACATCTTCAGAGGACTAACACATAACATCTTCCTATCCCTTGGTTCTGTTGTCCAGTCCTATCCCTTGGTTCTGTTTAACACCACCTGTCTTTCTGAGTTGTCCTTCTGTGATTATCTGTCAATATAAATGTTGCATTTGGTGTATCTACCAAAACACATGGTCTCTAGCCTAATCTGGTGTAATCTAACCAAAAACACATGTCTCTGCCTAATGCTTGGGTGTATCATCAAACACATGTCTCTGCCTAATGCTTTGGTGTATCTACCAAACACATGGTCTCTGCCTAATGCTTAGTGTATCTACCAAACACATGGTCCTCGGCCTAATGCTTGGTGTATCTACCAAACACATGGTCTCTGCCTATGCTTGGTGTATCTACCAAAACACATGGTCTCTGCCTAATGCTTGGTGTATTACCAAAACAATGGTTTTCTGCCTAATGCTGGTGTATCTACCAAAACACATGGTCTTCTGCCTAATGCTTGGTGTATCTACCAAAACACATGGTCTCCCGGCCTAATGTTGGTGTATCTACCCAAAAAACATGGTCTCTGTCTTTAAAGCTTGGTGTATCTACCAAACACATGGGTCTCGGCCTAATGCTTGGTGTATCTACCAAAACCATGGTCTCGGGCCCAATGCTTGGTGTATCTACCAAAAACAATGGTTCGGCCCAATGCTTTGGGGTATCTACCAAAAAATGGGGTTCTCAGCCTATGTTGGTTATCTACCAAACACATGGTTTTCCCTAATGGTGGTGTATCTACCAAAAACACATGGTCTCGGCCTAATGCTTGGTGTATTACCCAAAAACACATGGTCTCTGCCTAAAGCTTGGTTTTATCTACCAAAAACACATGGTCTCGGGCCCAATCTTGGTGTATCTACCAAAACACATGGTCTCTGCCCAATGCTTGTTGTATCTACCAAAACATGGTCTCAGCTAATGCCCGTGTATCTCCAAAACACATGGTCTCTTTCCTAAAGCTTGGGTATCTACCAAAACACATGGTCTCGGCCTAATGTTTGGTGTATCTACCAAACACATGGTCCCCGGGCCAATGCTTGGTGTATCTACCAAAACACTGTTCTCAGCCTAATGCTTGGTGTATCTACCAAAACACATGGTCCTGCCTAAGCTTGGGTTTTATTACCAAAACACATGGTCTCAGCCTAATGCCTTGTGTATCTACCAAAACACATGGTCTCTGCCTAATGCTTGGTGTATCTACCAAAACAATGTCTCAGCCTAATGCCTGGTGTATCTACCAAAACACATGGTCTCTGCCTAATGCTTGGTGTTCTACCAAAACACATTGGTCTCTGCCCAAAGCTTGGTGTATCTACCAAAACACAGGTCCCCGCCTAATGCTTGGTGTATCTACCAAAACACATGGTCTCGGCCTAATGCTTGGTGTATCTACCAAAACACATGGTCTCTGCCTAATGCTTGGTGTATCTACCAAAACACATGGTCTCGGCCTAATGCTTGGTGTATCTACCAAAACACATGGTCTCTGCCTAATGCTTGGTGTATCTACCAAAACACATGGTCTCTGCCTAATGCTTGGTGTATCTACCAAAACACATGGTCTCTGCCTAATGCTTGGTGTATCTACCAAAACACATGGTCTCTGCCTAATGCTTGGTGTATCTACCAAAACACATGGTCTCTGCCTAATGCTTGGTGTATCTACCAAAACACATGGTCTCTGCCTAATGCTTGGTGTATCTACCAAAACACATGGTCTCATGCCTAATGCCTTGGTGTATCTACCAAAACACATGGTCTCGCCTAATGCTTGGTGTATCTACCAAAACACATGGTCCTCTGCCTAATGCTTGGTGTATCTACCAAAACACATGGTCTCTGCCTAATTGCTTGGTGTATCTACCAAACACATGGTCTCTGCCTAATGCTTGGTGTAGCTACCAAAACACATGGGCTCGGGCCCAATGCTTGGTGTATCTACCAAAAACAAAATGGTCTTTTGCCTAATGTTGGTGTATCTACCAAAACACATGGCCCCCCTGCCTAATGCTTAGTGTATCTACCAAAACACATGGTCTCGGCCTAATGCTTGGTGTATCTACCAAACACATGGTCTCTTCGCCTAATGCTTGGGGTATCTACCAAAACCATGGGCTCTGACTAATGCTTGGTGTATCTACCAAAACACATGGTTTTGCCTAATGCTGGTGTGACTACCAAAACACTGGTCTCGGCCTAATGCTTGGGGTATCTACCAAAACACATGGTCTCTGTCTAATGCTTGGTGTATCTACCAAAACACTGGTCTCGGCCTAATGCTTTGGTGTATCTACCAAAACACATGGTCTCTGCCTAATGCTTGGTGTATCTACCAAAACACATGGTCTCTGCCTAATGCTTGGTGTATCTACCAAAACACATGGTCTCTTGCCTAATGCTTGGTTTTATTACCAAAACTGGCTTGCCTAAAGCTTAGTGTATCTACCAAAACACATGGTTCGGCCTAATCTTTGGGGTATCTACCAAAACACATGGTCTCGGCCTAATGCTTGGTGTATCTACCAAAAAAATGGTCTCAGCCTAATGCTTGGTGTATCTACCAAAACACATGGTCTCGGCCTCAAAGCTTGGGGTATCTACCAAAACACATGGTCTCTGCCTAATGCTTGGTGTATCTACCAAACACATGGTCTCTGCCTAATGCTTTGGGGTATTACCAAAACACATGGTCTCTGCCTAATGCTTGGTGTATTACCAACACACATGGTCTCAGCCTAATGCCTTGGTATCTACCAAAACACATGTCTCGGGCCCAATGCTTGGTGTATCGACCAAAACAATGTCTCAGCCTAATGCTGGTGTATCTACCAAACAATGGTCTCTGCCTAATGCTTGGTGTATCTACCAAAACACATGGTCTCTGCCTAATGCTTTTGGGGTAAACTACCAAAACACATGGTCTCGGCCAATGCTTGGTGTATCTACCAAAAAACATGGTCTCTGCCTAATGCTTGGTGTGTTATACCAAAACACATGGTCTCGGGCCCAATGCTTGGGGTATCTACCAAAACACATGGTCTCGGCCTAATGCTTTGGGGGATCTACCAAAACAATGGTCTCTGCCTAATGCTGGTGTATCTACAAAACACATGGTCTCTGGCCTAATGTTGGTGTATCTACCAAAACACATGGTCTCGGCCTAATGCTTGGTGTACTACCAACAAAAATGTCTGCCTAAAGCTTGTGTATACCAAAAACCATGGTCTCTGCCTAATGCTTGGTGTATTTACCAAAACACATGGTCTCAGCCTAATGCCTTGTGTATCTACCAAAACACATGGTCTCTGCCTAATTCTTGGTGTAATCTACCAAAAAACATGGTCTCAGCTTAATGCCCGGTGTATCTACCAAAACCCCATGGTCCTGCCTAATGTTTGGGGTATCTACCAAAACACATGGTCTCGGCCTAATGCTTGGTGTATCTACCAAAACACATGGTCTCGGCCTAATGCTTGGTGTTCTCAACCAAACACATGGTCTCCGGCCTAATGTTGGTGATCTACCAAAACACATGGTCTCTGCCTAATGGTGGTGTATTTACCAAAAAACATGGTCTCAGCCCAATGCCCTTGGGGTATCACCAAAACACATGGTCTCTGCCTAATGCTTGGTGATCTACCAAAACACATGGTCTCAGCTAATGCCTGGTGTATCTACCAAAACACATGGTCTCTTTCCTAATGCTTGGTGTATTTACCAAAAACACATGGTCTCGGCCTAATGTTTGGTGTATCTACCAAAACATGGTTCTCGGCCTAATGCTTGGTGTATCTACCAAAACACATGGTCTCGGCCTAATGCTTGGTGTATCTACCAAAACACATGGTCTCTGCCTAATGCTTGGTGTATTTACCAAAACACATGGTCTCAGCCTAATGCCTTGTGTATCTACCAAAAAACATGGTCTCTGCCAATGCTTGGTTTTATCTACCAAACACATGGTCTCAGCCTAATGCCTGGTGTATCTACCAAAACACATGGTCTCCCTAATGTTGGTGTATCTACCAAAAACATGGTCTTCTGCCTAATGCTTGGTGTATCTACCAAAACACATGGTCTCTGCTAATGCTGGTGTACTACCAAAACACATGGTCTCTGCCTAAAGCT